TGTTTAAAAATAGAGTGATATATTGTTAGCGTATGTTTTTCTCTTCGTCTTAGCATTTGCTGAGTATGTAATAGGTTATGTTTAGTTATCTCAGTGGTACAAGTTATACATTTTGTGAGCTGTGTCTTGTTTTTATTTTAATGTTTTCTAAAATTTATTTCAAGATTTCTATCCAGCATGTTGTCCTTAGAAATCCATACCTCTACATTTAGTTCTTATCCTCTGTACTTCCCTCTTCATACCATGCTTACAGATGAAAATTAAGAGATTTGTATACTTTGAATTTCCCATTAATCTTGATTTGAAACTAAAATACTGTTTGTACAGGTGAAATGGGATACTATTTTAGTTAGGTTTGAAATACTATTAGAGTATTTGGGCAAATCCCGAGTGTAGGGAATCTAATTAAATAGGGAAGAATAAGCCTTATTTTGCTTTGCAATTATAAAGTTGTAACTGTCTAGTGGTAGAATCGAGAGCTTTTGGTTGGTTCAATTTTAAAATTACGCTTGAACTGACTACAGTCAACCAGTGTAATTCAAGCTATTTGAAAGTATGATATCCCATGTACTGCTTCTTAAATAAACAATTTATATACTGAAGCTAAAACTTTACCATGTGCATTTGTTTTCATATTATTCACGTTATTACACATGATTGTTTGGATCAGATAAAATAATGTTTGAAAACAACTTAATTATAGAACAGAAAAACACCATATAAAATGTAATGTCTTATTGCATTGTAGGGAATGAACCAATAGAACAAAAGTTGTATATGTTAAAATGAGTTAAATATGGGAACCGTTTCTTTTCAATATTATTTACATGAATTTAAACAAATTTTAATGCATGTTCATTTTTATTTTCAGATTCAAAATGCTAATGATGTATTAATTGCGCCACTTGAGAAATTTCGAAAAGAACAGATAGGTGCAGCAAAAGTAAGTGTTACATTTTATTATTCTCCGCATGTTCTTCTGATACTTAGAAATGACTTAATTTCAAATGCTAACATATTTGAAATTAGAATGACCTTTTAAAATATTCTGTGTGTCGTTTTTAACTTTTTTGAACAGAGCCTATTACAAAGACTGGGATTCTTTTAAACATAAAAAGATCTTCTGCTGCTGCTGAATAGAGAAAAAGTCTGTATAATATCAGTCAATTCCCCCCCAGCCAACAGTTGTAGCAACTTAACTGTTTTTAAAAGAGGATGAAATTATACAAAACAGTATGTTGAGTCTTATTCCTGTTGCCTATATAAAATTAAAATTGGGTGCAGAGTATATTGTAAATTCATCTTAAACTAGTCTTTGTGTTTGTTGTTGTTAATAGAAATATGTTTGTGGAAAAACTTTAGACGTGTGTCATAAATATTTCATTTGAATTAGTGTTTAATTGATCATATTCCCATCAAAATTTCTCTGAAACCAATGATTTACTTCATTTTGGTTAACCAGCATCATGTAGGCACACAGGATTTAGAGATTCCAAAACATCTTCCCTTCCTTTTCTGAAGTTTTCTGTTTAGTTGATGGTGTGCCATTCAAACAGTGCTATCCACTCTACTGCAGTTATTTTTCCATCTCTCATTAACTTTTATCTGAAATAGGAAAACAGCCTACAACTTGGTCTTCCCATCTCCATTTTCTTATGCATTTAACACATTTTTTCCATGTCCCTTTTCCAATGAAGAAATCTTTAATGGCTCTTCTTAAGAGATAGTTTAATGCTGACAGTGAAAGCTCTCCATAGCCTGTCCATTTGCTGTGTTTCTGTATATCCCTATCAGGCATGGTGGCCTACTCATACGGCTCTCTACATTATATAGACCCTGACTCTGTATCCATATTTTTGTCCAAACCTTTCCCCTGTGCCTAGATAGTTCTTACTCCCTACTTGTTGAGGTCTTGCAAGCTGTCTATGGTATATTTGATATTCTTGCACCAGAAGGGGAAGTCTTCCATTGATAGGTATTTTTTTATAACAGATAGCTCTCCCTTTCCAGAATGGATTTTTCCCCCCTCTCATACAGTCTGTTGCTCCTTATATGTGTTAAGACAAAAAAGGCCCCAGATTTAAACATGTTTTGTAGAGACCTTTTTATTCAGCCTCAAACAGTACAAAGACAACTCAAACATTATCATCCAAATGAAGAAAACCGTCAGGATGCACACAGTTCAGAGGCCGATGGAGTCTGCTGACTCACACACATAGTTTTCATTATATGTGGTAGAGAACAAAGGCAATCATAATGAGGTCATGATTGGTAGTAGGTCAATCTATCTCAGTTGCAGGCAGGACTACAGAAGCTGGGAAAGGATGTGATTGGATAAATACATAATTGTAGGTTAAGAAGGTTACAGGATTGTTTCTAGGGTTTTGATCACACCCTTAGGCACAGCCACAAGGTAGCTACAAGACAATACCATGATCCTCAATTCCCAAATTGTCTGATTAGCTATTTTCAGGTAAATGCCAAGGCAAGTTCCCTAGTTCTTTGTGTGAGCATCTTTCTTGATCCTAATCTGCTTCCAACCATACTTTTCTTTAGAGCAAACTGACCCTCTTTGGGCTTGCCCCAGATAGGGGCAAGCATTACCATAGTGCTGACTTAATGGTCAGCAAGCATTGGAGTCCTGGTGTGATGCTGTGGGTTAATGCACCAGACTGCAAAGCTGTTTGAACTGCCAGGTCGGTGGTTCAAGCTCACCAGTCACTCCTTGGAAACCCCATATAGGGTCCCTATGGTTTGGAATCGACTTAATGGCACTTAACAACAACAACAACAAGTATTGGGGAAGTAACAGAGAACTCAAATGGTATTTTACCTTACTTATGTCAATACACAAAATGGAGTGAGGGTTCCTGCTGTAGACTGCAGCCTTTCATAAATACCAAGTGTTTTCTAACTTAAGCTCAAGTGCAATACTTGGATTAGAGTTTTATGCACAGTCTCCCATCAGTGGTAAGTAATTATTAGCCCAGAGACTAAATCAAAACTCTTTCTTTTTGTTAATCAATTCAGTAAATTTCTATCAATATAATGCTTTGTTTAAGCCACAGTGGCTATCCTGGTGTTTGATAAGGGTCAGGGATAGGACTGTAAACAAGACAGACATGATCCGTGCGCTTAAGTCCCTTATTATCTTTTGTGGAAAACAGACACTGAACTAATTACAAATGCACTGAAGATTATGATGCAAAATTGCAGGGGTCTTTGATGATTTGTAATTGATGGACCTGACCTTGTCCAGAGAAACAGGAAATGCTTTCTGGAGGAAGTATTGCTTAAGTTAATTGATGAGAAAGAAAGGGCTTGGAATGGGGATACAGGGCTGGAAAGGGAAGACTATTCCAGATAATTCAGGAAAGGAAACAAAATGGCTATAAAGAAAGACCACGAAGAAGGAAAGAGTCTTTTAGAGTATTTTAAAGGAACGAGGTCCAGTATGTGTGTAATATTGAATGCCAGAGGGACAGGGGCCACATGCAGAGGATCCATAGTATTTTATTACTTAAAAGCATTGGTAAGCCATAGAAAAGTGGTAAGCTGGGATGTTTATTACATGTGTATTTCAAAATACTACTTTGTCTGTCATTAGCATTCATAGATTGGAGGAGGCAAAACTAACTGTGGGCCTACTGGAGTCAGGAATTGGTAGTGGCTTTAGAAGAGTCCCTGAGTGGTCCACGTGATGAGCTTCTCAGCTAATCAAAAGGTTGGAGATTGAAGTCTACCCATAAGCACCTTGGAAGAAAGGCTTGGTAATATACTTGCAAAAGCTCAGCCATTGAAAATCTTATGGAGCATAGCTCAACTCTGACAAGCCAAAATTGGACTCAACAGCAATTGTTTTTTTTTTAGATTTAGAAGGTGACAGTAACTGTGGAGACAAGGGGAACTGTGAGAACTATTTCAAAGGTAAAATAAAAAGAATAAAACTTAGGTTTCCTACTGTGAAGCAAGGAATGGGTAGCTTTCAAAGATGACCCCAAGGATTCCAGGTTCCATAACAGGGTGGTTGTTGGAGATACTTGATGAGATAGGCAGAATTTATGTTTGAATGTTAGAGATGATGAGTACAGTTTTAGAAATACTGAATTTGGAGTTCCTCTGAGAAATCTAAGTAGAAATGAGTTGGCAAGTGTATTCAGATGAGAGTTAGAATTTTTGTCCTCTTGTTGTTAGCTATTCATCTTGCATACTTCAGGGATCAGTTCTTGGAGAGGGACATCATGCTGGTCAAAGTGGAGGGTCAGTGGACAAGAGGAAGATGCCCAAGGAGAAAGATGGATTTACACAACGGTAACAGCTGTGGGCGCAAATGTTAACAGTTGTGAGGACGGCGATGGCTCTGGAGTGGGCAGTGTTTCATTCTGTTGTGCATGGGGCCACTATGAGTCAGAACCAACTCGATGGCACTCACCACCACCACCAACAAAGTGTTAATTAAGGAGCTCTTGTGGTACAGTGGCTACAGCACTCGGCTGCCGACCAAAAAGTCAGTAGTTTGATCTGTCTAACTGCTCCATGGGGGAAAGAAGAAGCACTCAGCTTCTGTAAAGATTTAAAGCAAGAGAACCCTTAAGCAAGAGCAGTTCTGCTCTGTCCTGTTATGTCCCTATGGGTCTAGATTGTGAGAAGTGGGTAGGTATTAATTAAAGTCATAGAAATAAATGAGATTTCCCCAGAGCTAGAAGAGGACCTAGGAACAATAACCTGAGAACTCTCACCATTTTATGTTTGGAAAGAGAAGGTTAAGACAGCTAAGGAGGGTACTACAGAAGTGTCAGGAAAAAGGATAACATTACGAGTATTATACCTTTTCAAATTACAGCTACTATATATTTTAAAAGACTTTAAGGAGGCCAAAATCTCATTTTCCACATTTGGTGTTCTATAACAATGAAAGTCTTTTCAAGAATAATAATAGCTAATCTTTCTTGAGAGCTATGTGACAGAGCTTCACAGATCTATTACATCTGTGACCTAACTTAATGCTCATAAGTAGCTGTGAGGTAGCTGCTGGCATTTCATCTGCTTTAAAAAATGAGGAGACTTATGAGGTAACATACACTAGGTCACAGATAGGAAGTGAAAGAATGTGGACCTATAGCTATTTTTTCTTTTAGAACCTCAGTGTACAGTAGTTTACTTTGTCTATGATATTGCATATAAAATTAAGTTGAAACTTCATGTGAAATTCTTTTATTAGTTTGGGTCATACAAGTTTTCTATCCCCTCTAGAAGACTATATTTCATTTGCCTGTGTATTATTCTTTTCTGATATAAAGATTTAGCTTAAAGTTGTAATGTCCTGATCAGTAGCACTTTTCAGGCACCTCAACTGCTGAATAGAAAACTAAAAACACCTAACACATACTATGTCTTTGCTTCCTCATGGGAGATTAAAGGAGAACTGGTGTAACCAAAAAGTCAGGTACTAACTCACAAATCTGTTATTTGGAACCAACAATCTCTCCATGGCTATTGAAAATAGTCTAGAAACCGCTATGGGCCATTTCTATACTAGGAGTCATGGAATTGTCCCAACAGTAACAGGGTTTTTTTGTTTGTTTTGTTTTGTTTTTATGAGGGAGGTTAAATCTTGAGTGGTAGTTACTCTGTGCATTTTGTCTGCCTGGTGCTCTTGTTGTTGTTAAGTGCCATAGAGTCGGTTACGACCCATAGCGACCCTGTACAGGGTTTCCGAGGGTGTAAATCTTTACGGGAGTAGAAAGCCTCATCTTTTTCCCGCGGAGCAGCTGGTAGTTTCGAACTGCTGACCTTGAGCTTCGCAGCCCGATTCGTAACCACTACGCTACCAGAGCTCCTTGCCTGGTGCTCTTAGTTCTCAATTATTTCCAAGCTAAAACATCATTCTTATTTCGTAAACAGTTAAGTGCTGTTGAGTCAGTTCCATCTCATACTGACCCT